AAATCAGAGCAAGAGTTGAGTGAACAGTCACATGCACCCCAGGATGCGGTTTGCCCCCTTGTCTGCCAGGGCACACTGCTGTCTCCTATTGAACCTGCTGCCAGGCAGCACCCCAAGGCGCCTTTCTGCAGGGCTGCTCTCCAGGAACTCCTCTCCCAGGCTGTGCTTGTGTCCGGCATCGCTCCATCCCAGGCGCAGAATCCAGCATTTGTGCTTCTTACATTTCATGCCATTGATGGTTGCCCAATGCTGCAACCTATCTAGATCCTTCTGCAAGACCTCTTGTCCTTCAAGAGACTCAACAGCAACTCCCAGTCCCATCAGCAAGCTTGTGAACAGTGCATTCAACTGCTGCCTGTAGAGGTGTGATAAAAATATTGTCCAGAAATGACCCTGGAATGGAGCCCTGGGGAATATTGCAGGTGACCATTCACAAAGCACATCTAGCTCCATTCACTTTGAGACTTTCAGCCCTGCTCTTCAGCAGTTCTTTCTCCAATGTATGGTGTACCTGCTCATGTCACATTTGAACAACTTGTCCAGGAGGATGTTGTGAAGGACAAGAGTTCAGCCAGGTCAGATGCCAAGTCTTGTTTGTGGGGAGAAGTGACCCCGTGTAGCAGGAATATCTGTGGGACCAATGGGTTAGAAACCGTCTTAGGAGAGAATGACGTTGTGGTCCTAGTGGAGCAGAAACGGACCATGAGATGACAACCTACCCTTGTAAGAAAAGGGTCCACCAGTCTCCAGGGCTTCATTCAGTGGTGCTGCAGTGGGTAAGGGGAGGGCAGCATCCCTTGCTTGTCAGAAATGTTGAGGAGAATGTCATGTGGGATTCATTTCTTGGTGCCCCAGTGAGGAAGGACTTGGACTTTCTGGAGCAGGAGCAGTGTAGGGTCACCAAGAGACTGGAGGGTCTGGATCATCTTTCATAGAGAAGAGGTTGAGAAGTGAACCACCCAAGAGAGGAGGATGTGCAGGGTGCCCATCATCAATGGGAGTAAAGACGCTGATGGCAGGGAAAGAAGTGGTGGGAACCCAGCTCTTGTCGCTGGTGTGCACATGCAGAAGAGGCTGCCCTGGGTACAAGGGGAAAGAGATGGGATTGCATGGGCAAACCAGGCAAGCCGTTTGCCTGTGTGGAAGGGCAAAGAGTGGAAGAGGTGGTGGAGTCTCTGTGCTGTGAGCTACTGAAAACCCAACTGGCCATGGTCCCACACCTGCAGCTCCAGTTGTCCTGTTCATGAAAAGGGATTAAGTCAGCTCCTCTGGAGAGGTTCCTGCTGTTGAAAGTGATTCTGAGGAGACTCAGGCTGGGATGCTGGAAACTTTATTTAGACAAAAGAATGAAAATGTAAGAGCAGCAAAAGCACCAAGTGGAAGTGAGACAGTCTGAGGTGCAAGGAGTGCAACCATGAGCAGAAGACTTCTGCTTGCAGTTCTTCCTGCCCTGCAGCGCAAGCAGCATAGCAGAGGTCCCCCCATATTCTTTGACTTGTTAGAAGGGGTTTGCAGCAGAGAGTTGTGGACACAGGCAAAGAGATGATGCCAAGAAGGAAGTAGTACAACAGGAGGAGGTGCAGGGGCAATATTTTCAGGCATCCTGGGCAGGCCCCGTGCGCTGTTTCTTCTCTTGGTGGCTCGAGACGGGGAGCTGTGGACAGGAGGTCCCCATGTCAGGAACTGCCCAGAACTGCATCCTCAGACCTTGCCATGGCTTTGAGGGTTTCGGTGGCTGGCTTCAGGTGTGTTGTCAATGGCCCTTAGCAGATGTTGTATCCCCTTCCTCTGCCGTAGCAGCCCAGGCCTCCGAAGCCGTAGCCAAGGCCGTAGCCGAAGCCCCCAGAGGAGACGGGCACTCCCTGGGCGCTGAGGACGTTGCCCACGGCAGCGGATGAGGAGGATCCGACGGCGGTGCTCTGGGGGAAGGAGCTGAGGATGGGTCCTGGCAGGGTGACCAGCACGGCGGGAGGCTGGATGACGACGCGGGAGTCCTCGCACTGCCTGACACAGGGCTCGTTGCAGCTGTTGGCCAGCGGGGTGGGTCCGCAGGGGCGGCAGAGGTCGTAGCAGGCCATGTCTGTGGTGTGGAGGGGCCCTGGCAGGGGAGAGGAGAGGAGAGAATGGAAGTGAGGGTGTGGGGGGAGCGGAATGCATGGGGGTGCAAGGGGCGGTGGTGCAGGAGGGCGAGGCTGTGGGGAGGCTGGAGTGGGGCTGTGGTGCTGGGGAGGCGTGAGGGGTGCTGAGGCTGGGGCAGAGCGTGCTGGAAGAGCCGGGGCAGGGGGGCAGGAGCAGAGGGCAAGGGGCTTGAGGCTCACCTTGTTGAGCGCGCAGGAGAAGTCGTCAGCAGAGGCGAGTGAGGGACAGAGGCTCTGGGCCGGCTTTTATGCTGGTCCTGGAGTGCCCGAGGGGGCTGAGAGAGCCTTTGTGCATGACAGCATGTTTGTGCAAGCAGCTGGTGCATGTCAGATCCTCGCAAGCAATTATTTGTGGCTGTGTTTTCCTTCCAAGAGTTCTGGAATTTCATGTCCTCCTTTTGAGGACGTGTCCTTCTGGCCCTGGCGGCAGCTTTCAAGTATTAGAGACCGAAGGCTTGGTGTTGATGGTGCATGTCAGGGCATTTGGCAGAACATGCAACAAAAGCATTTGAGAGGTGGGGGTGTCATCATTGATGTCATCCTGTGACACTCGTGGCTGTGGTTTGTGGCTGGGTTGTGAAGAGGGGGCCCCATGTCCTTTCAGCCCCGGGGCTGTGCTGGCTATGAGAGGCTGCCCCTTCCATTGCATTAGGTTCCTCCCTGACTTGCTGCTGGGTCACTAGTCCTGTCTGTAGGCCTTTCCTTTCCTTTTGGGTGAGCTCTATGGGTGTTGTGGTGCCTTTTTATGTCTGTAAGGTTGTACTTAATGGGTTCACATGCGAAGGTTCTGTTAGAAGGTGCAAGAAGCTTCTGCCATGTCTCGAAGAGCATGTTTGAAGAGCACACGCTGATAACGCTGATGTTTTGGTCTGGCCAAGGACCTTGTGAGCCTCATGCTCTGCCAGGGAGGAGGGGAGGCCGGGAGGAAACAGAGAAATGACACCTGACCCAAGCTAGCCAAAGAGGTATTCCATACCACAGCACGTCATGCCCAGGATGGAACTGGGAGTTACCCTGAAGGGGTGGGACTGCAGTGTTGGACGAGGTATCGGTCGGTGCTTGGTCAGGCTGGAGGGGCAAGTTATCGGTCAGCTATTGCTGAGATGTTGTATTCTCTTCCCTTGCTATTCCCTTTATCATTATTATTATTGGTGGTAGCAGTTGTGATTTGTGTTATACCTTAGTTACGAAACTGTTCTTATCTCAACCCGTGGGAGTTGCATTCTTTTCGGTTCTCCTCTCCGTCCCTCCAGGAGTAGGGGGAAGGAAAGGAAGAGGGAGGAAAGGTGGGGACTGAGTGAACAAGCTGTCTGGCTGGGTTTAAACCACAACAGTAATTCATGAGGGAAGGTGAATGTGGGGAAGGTGTTTCGAGATTTGGTTTTATTTCTCTTATTTCTACTCTGACTTTATTGAAATTTAATTTAACTTTGATAAATTATATTAATTTCTCAAGCACAGTCTGTTTTGCTGCCACTGGAGTGTTCTCCTGCCTGTGAGTGATCTCCATGTCCTTATCTTAGTTCGGGAGCCTTTTGTCGTATTGCTGTCCCCCTATCCAATTGAGGAAGAGGAGTGATAGAGCAGCTCGGTGAGCACATGGTGCCCAACCAAAGTCTACCCACCACAGAGCCCCATCTTCGCAGCACAGCTGGTCACAGACTTGGTCCTGCACTTGTCCACAGTGTGTCGTGCAGAGACCCATTGAGCCAAGGTGAGGAGGACTGTGACCTCATACTGGTGTTTTCTGTGTGACCTCAGAGCAGAGGGATGGTGGCTTGGGGTCCCTGCAGAGGTGGTCCAGAGACTTTGCAGGAGGGAGTATGGTGGTCAGGAGACCTTCTGTGTGGGTCAGTGTTGGAGCCTGCAGGGAAGAGGGGCTGGTGGTTGGGGAACCTCCAAGGCAGCATCTGTGGACCCCACAGCAAGGTGAGACCATGGCCTGGGTACACTGGCATGTTTGGAATGGAGACCAAGCAGCCAGGTGGTCAGTGCAACATAGACCCACACCTGGGTCAGAGGAGGATCTCAGAGCAAGGAGGGTGGTGACTTGGGCACACTGTATTGACTATCCATGGTCATTCCAGCAAGTGGGGACCAGGCCATGAGTTCCTGTGTGGGTGGCCCTGGGACTCCACGCGAAAGATCTCATGAGTTTATGGTGACTCCGTCAGAGGCGTTCTCATGGGAGTGTTGCCATGTTCAAGACTGTCTTTGAGCCAGCACTTGCTCAAACCTCTGTCACTTTGTGAAAGCAACCCAGGTGCCAGTGTTTGTTGGTTGTGGTGGTATATTTCCCAGGATAATTTTGGTGGCCTTTTTCACGCGTACTGATGTCCTGTTGAGCCCTGGCTTTGTGCTGCAAAAAGTTGAAAGAGCCATGGTAGAAGAATGGGGAAGAGGTGTCAGAGGTTGGGATGCAGAACTTTATTGAGACAAAAGCATGAAGATATACAAGCATAAGGAGGAAGAGAGGTGAGGTGCAAGTATGGTGACCATGCACTGAGGTCTTCTGTATGCAGTAGATTCTGTCAGAGCAGTGAGGTCTTTCAGTCTTGACTGGGGAGAAACCCACTGGAGGTCCCCCGCTGCTGCTTAGCCTGTAAGATGCTGGTGGGGCACACAGTACTGCACACAGCAGATGGGGTGGTGCGGAGAAGGAATTTGGAGAAGAGGAAGACATCCATGGGCCATGTTACCAGGCAGCCTGGTCAGGCCCCTTCCCTGCTTGCTCTGTGCCACAAGAGAAGCAGCTGAGGAAGGTGAACTGCTGTGCCAGCATTACCCCAGACGTGCATCCTCAGTCCATGTCTTTGCTTCTTGAATGTATGTGAGTGGTTTCAGGCATCTTGTGAGGGACCCTTAGCAGATGTTGCAGCCTCTTCCTCTGCCATAGCAGCCCAGGCCTCCAAAGCCGTAGCCAAGGCCGTAGCCGAAGCCCCCAGAGGAGACGGGCACTCCCTGGGCGCTGAGGACGTTGCCCACGGCAGCGGATGAGGAGGATCCGACGGCGGTGCTCTGGGGGAAGGAGCTGAGGATGGGTCCTGGCAGGGTGACCAGCACGGCGGGAGGCTGGATGACGACGCGGGAGTCCTCGCACTGCCTGACACAGGGCTCGTTGCAGCTGTTGGCCAGCGGGGTGGGTCCGCAGGGGCGGCAGAGGTCGTAGCAGGCCATGTCTGTGGTGTGGAGGGGCCCTGGCAGAGGAGAGGAGAGAATGGAAGAGAGGGTGTGGGGAGAGCAGAGGGCGTGGGGGTGCTAGGGGCGGTGGTGCAGGAGGGCGAGGCAGTGGGGAGGCTGGTGTGGGGCTGTGGGGCTGGGGAGGCGTGAGGGGTGCTGCGGCTGGGGCAGAGCGTGCTGGAAGAGCCAGGGCAGGGGTCAGGAGCAGAGGGCAAGGGGCTTGAGGCTCACCTTGTTGAGCGCGCAGGAGAAGGCGTCAGCAGAGGCGAGTGAGGGACAGAGGCTCTGGGCCGGCTTTTATGCTGGTCCTGGAGTGCCCGAGGGGGATGAAACAACCTTTGTGCATGACAGCATGTTTGTGCAAGCAGCTGGTGCATGTCAGATCCTCACAAGCAATTAGTTGTGGTTGTGTTTTCCTTCCAAGAATTCTGCAATTTCATGTCCTCCTCTTGAGGACGTGTCCTTCTGGTCCTGGCGGCAACTTTCTAGTGGGAGTTTGACAAGTCAAAAGCTTGGTGTTTATGGTGTGTCAGATTGTGCAAAACATGGAAACTGAGCTTTGGAGAGGTGGGGTGACATCAGTGATGTCATCTCTTGGCATTCGTGTGGTGTGGTTTGCGGATGCGTTGTGATGAGGAGCCCCAAGTTGTGGCAGCCCTGTCAGGCTGGTGTGGGCTTTGGAGATGTGCTGGCCGTGTGGGGCTGCTCCTTCCATCAGATTTGGTCCCTCTCCACATTGCTGCCTGGTCTCTAAGCCTGTCTGTAGGCCTGTCCTTTCCTGTTGGTTGAGCTCTCTGGGTGTCTTGGTGCCCTTTGTGCTCAAAGGTTGTCCCTTGGAGTGGTGTGTTTCTGTGGAAAGTATGTAGGCATAGGGTTGCCAATGTGGCTTTCTGAGAAGAGGTCTGAAACTTCCCCCATGTCTGGTAGAGCCTGTTGGGATTATCTGTTCCATAAGTTAAGGGAGGACCATTTCCCATTAAGGGACCCCGGGATGAAGCACGAGAAGAGTGTGAGAAGGAAAGAGGAGAAGCGACAATGTCTGTTCAACTGATCACAATCCCCAATTCCTCATCCCTTTGTGCTATTTTGGGCAAGGGAATATGTACTTCAGGAGGGAAGTTGAACCTAAAGAAGGGAGGGAGAGGGGGAAGGTGTTTTAAGATTTGGTTTTATTTCTCAGAATTCTACTGACTTTTGATTTTGATAACTTAAATTAATTTCCCTGAGTCAGGGGTGTTTTGTCGCCATCGAAAACCTAAGAGTGTTCTCCGTGTCCTTATTTTGACTCTGGAGCCTTTTGTCATATACTCTTCCTCTCATCCAGTTAAGGAAAAGGAGTGATAGAGCAGCTCAGAGAGCATTTGGTGCCCTGCCAAGGTCAACACCACAGAGAGCCCCATCTTCACATCAGGGCTGGGTCACAGGCTTGGTCCTGCACTTGTCCCAGTGCCCCCTGCAGGGCCTCTGTAGGCCAAGGTGAGGAGCATTGTGACCTCACAGTGGGGACTGTCGGTATGACCTCAGAGCAGAATCATGGTAAGTTTGGGTCGCCTGCAGAGGTGGTCCAGACATCCTGCAGCAGGGAGGACGTTGGTCAGGAGATCCCCTGTGTGGGTTACTGTTGGGTCGTGCAGTGAAGAGGGGCTGGTGGCTGCAGAACCTCCAAGGCATCATTTGTGGATCCTATAGCAAGGTGAGACCATGGCCTGGGAGCGCTGGTATGTTTGGAGTGGGGACCAATCAGCCAGGTGGTCAGTGCAACACCAACCCCACACCTGGATCAGGGAAGGACTGCATGAAAAGGAGGGTGGTGACCCAGACACCCTGCATGGGATACTCATGGTCTTCCTAGCAAGAGAAGGAATGGATATTCTTCTGGTCCCTGGTGAGGCATCACCTGGAGTTCTGTGTCCAGTTTTGGGTTCCTCAGTGGAAGAGATACATGGAGGTGCATAAGAAACCTTCCTGGAAAGCAGTGCTATGACCAGCAAGGTCAAGGTGATGGGCTGTGGTTTTAGATGTGGATTTTGAGAGGGTAAATTGTGCTTGACTGACCTCTGTCTTCTCTGTTGAAGTCAGTGGGATTTGGAGAGAGGCTGAGCAGTCTGTTGTTGAGCTGTACTTGAAAGAAACCTTTTGTCACTGTCTCCCATTACACGTTCCTAGAGAATTGGAGAAAGCCTGGGCTGTGTAAGGGCCGAGTGAGGAGGGCTGCAAAGTGACTGAAGGGCTGAGCCCAGAGGCTTGTGATCAGGCCGTGGCCAGAAGGGAAAACAGATGGAATTCCATGGGCAAAGAAGGAATTGCCAAATTTGCATTGGCCTTTTTCCATGTGAGGATGGTCAATTGGTGGAAGAGGTTGTGGGGTCTCCTGGTGGCATCTACTGAAAACCCAACTGGGCATGTTTAGGACAAGCTGCTATAACTGGCCCTGCTGTGTCAGAGGGGGTGAAGCAGCTGCTCTCTGAAGGTTTCTGCCACACTGAATGGTTGTGTGATTCTGTTTGCTGGGAGGGCTGGAGAGCCATGCTGGGGAGGAGAGTTGGTCAAGTGTGTGGTGGCACAGGGGCACTTCATCAGAGGCACGCACAGGGGAGCGTTACCAAATGAATTGTTTGAGCCAGTGATGGGCTTGTGTCACATTCTTCTGGAAGACCTCCACATGTCAGCCTGTGTTGTTGCTGGTTGTGGTGGCATATTTGATGCCTGAGACCTCGAGGTCCTTATCCAACCCCCAATGGCCTGGCTTTGTGCTGTGTGAAGTTGGAAGAGCCTTGGTAGAAATAAGGAGGAGGAAAAGTCACAGTCTGGGATGCAGAAGAACTTTATTGAGGCAAAAGAATGAAGATATAAAAGCATAAGGTGGTAGAGAGCTGGTCTAGGGTGTGAGTAGGATGACCATTCACTGAGGTTCTCTGTTTGAAGGACATGTTGTCAGAGCACTGAGGTCTTCCTGTCCTGAACTGGGAGGAGCCCACTAAAGGTCCCCATAATCTTTCTTAGCTTGTGAGATGCTGGTTGTGACAGAGAGTACCTGACATAGCAGATGGAGTGATGAGGAGAAGGAATTGGAGGAAAAGGAGGAGGTCCGTGGGTGATGGTGACAGACAGCCTGGGCAGGCCCCTGCCCTGCTTGCTTTCTTGGTGCCTTGAGAGGAGGAGCTGTGGACAGCAGATATATGTATCAGGAATAGCCTGGACATGCATCCTCAATCGTTGCCATGGCTTCCATGGTGTGGGTGGCTGGTTTCATGCGTGTTGTCAATGGCCCTTAGCAGATGTTGCAGCCTCTTCCACCGCCGTAGCAGCCCAGGCCTCCAAAGCCGTAGTCCAGGCCTCCGAAGCCGTAGCCAAGGCCGTAGCCGAAGCCCCCAGAGGAGACGGGCACTCCCTGGGCGCTGAGGACGTTGCCCACAGCAGCGGATGAGGAGGATCCGACGGCGGTGCTCTGGGGGAAGGAGCTGAGGATGGGTCCTGGCAGGGTGACCAGCACGGTGGAAGGCTGGATGACGACGCGGGAGTCCTCACACTGCCTGACACAGGGCTCGTTGCAGCTGTTGGCCAGCGGGGTGGGTCCGCAGGGGCGGCAGAGGTCGTAGCAGGCCATGTCTGTGGTGTGGAGGGGCCCTGGCAGGGGAGAGGAGAGGAGAGAATGGAAGAGAGGGTGTGGGGAGAGCGGAGGGCGTGGGGGTGCGAGGGGCGGTGGTGCAGGAGGGCGAGGCAGTGGGGAGGCTGGTGTGGGGCTGTGGGACTGTGGAGGCGTGAGGGGTGCTGAGGCTGGGGCAGAGCGTGCTGGAAGAGCCGGGGCAGGGGGTCAGGAGCAGAGGGCAAGGGGCTTGAGGCTCACCTTGTTGAGCGCGCAGGAGAAGGCGTCAGCAGAGGCGAGTGAGGGACAGAGGCTCTGGGCCGGCTTTTATGCTGGTCCCCGAGGGGCGGGACAGCCTTTGCGCATGGCAGCATTTGTCAGAAAGCAGCTGGTGCGTGCCACAGCCTGGCAAGTCATGAGCTGGGGCGTGTTCTCCTTCCCACAGTGCTCCCTTTGCATGTCCTCCTGGTGAGGACGTGTCCATCCGGCCCTGGCGGCAGCCTTGAAGTGAGAGTAGGTTTCTGGGACCATTTGCATGGAAGATGCCTGTCAGGCTGTTCTGCAGATACAGCCATGGCCTTGGAGACGTGGGGTGTCATCACTGAGGTCATTCGGTGGCACTTGTGTGTTGTGGTTTTTGGTGCCTTGTGAAGAGGTGGCTCCATGTTCATTGCAGCCCTGTCGGGCTGGTCTGGGCTCTGGAGTTTTGGTGGCATGAGGGGCTGCCTCTTCCGTCCCATTTGTTCCCTCCCTGCCTTGCTGCCATGTCCCTTCGCTTGTCTTTAGGCCTGTCCTTTTCCATTGGGTGAGCTCTGTGGGTGTCAATGTGGATCTCCTTGTGCCCTTTGTGCTTTTATGGTTGTAGCTGGAGAAAGGGGGCTGCCTACTTGGGTTTTTGCCCACCTAGTGGTGTTCCAGGGGGTGGTGCTGAGGGCAGGCCTAGGTTGCCTCTTTGTTAGAGCAGGCTTGTCCTGCTAGCCCAGGTTCAGTGTTGTTGAGGGATTCCTGATGTGGGGATTCCTGACAGTGCTGTGGAAGTCGTGTGTTGGCCCCTCTCTAGTGCTTCCCTGATTAGGGGTTGGCACATTTTCAGTCCGGACTCTGGTGTGATGCATTGCTAGATGTGGGGCACCTCACAAAGGCAGTTGTGGTTCTGGAGAGCCTGTGAGGATGTCAGTGGAAGAGGTGTTAGGGAGCAGTTGCCAGGGGAATCGTGCACCAGGTTTGTGATCTTTGCCTGGGGTAGTGCCACTGCGTGACACCATTTCTCTGCTCAGTGTTGACAGGTGAAAGTTGATTTGGAGATTAAAGAGGGGTTTGGATGCAGAGATGCTTTACATGGCCACAGAGGTTGGGCCCTGTTAGTGGTGGATTCATGCTGATGGGCTGATGCCTGGCAAGGCCTGCCCCA